AGTGTAATTTAGAATTTCGTCTGGTTCTCCGATACACCGAGAGAGAAGGGTAGAGTTTGACGTGAAACTTCATATATAGAGTTTCTATTAACGAGTTTCTATCAGCTCGTTGAAACTACCACGAATGCTAAGTGAAACAATCCCTTTTCTATAGGCAACTTTACCAATTTGGTAATGTTACAACATTCCGATTGGGAACTGGGATGTGTTTTGTAAACTGTGTTAAACAATAAATTGTATGCATCTTGCTATATTACCTTTATAAGTTTATTTCCAAACTTTTAACTAAAGTTTTGGAATTTTTGCAAAAAGTATCTACACGAAATTTAGAGGAATACGATGTCACAACATGGAGTTATGATATAATGATCTGGCAGAAAGTTATGATACACATAGACTAGAAAAGAGTCATAATCAAATAAAGCTAGAATGAAAGAAACCAGAAAGACAGAAATAAAGCAATATTTAAGTCTGTAAGCAGAAGAAAAAAGTTAGAAACAACCTGGAAGAGTCTCCACGCTTAGGTTAGCTTGTTAAAGTCCAAAGTGATATAGAAGGATGCCAAAAGATGTCAGAAATAAGCTAAAAACGCAAAAACAAAGCAAACTCTAAAAGAATGTTAGAAATTCATGATACGGTTTATATTTTGCTAAATGTATTCTTACTAACAATAGCTTTAAGCTGTTTCTGGAAATACTAAATAGGAATCAACTCCGTTTTTAAAGTTATAAGATTGTGAAAGTATTAATTTAATTAAAAACATACATTCCTAAAAATCGCCTTTTTCAAGGTAGAAAAACCTTTTTTTTGTGTTTTATAACCCAACAACTTCACAAATAGGCAACGTAACATTTCAAACTCGTTTTTTAACATTTTTCCCTCTTCTCCTGTAAATAAAAATGCATTTCACATGTTGTTTATCGACGAAAAAAAGGCTAAAAAGGGATTCTCTCTACTCCACGAATGTTCGGACGTGTTTACTAGCGATCTTCCACAAAACCGAAATCCTACGTGTGTGCATCATCTGGTCATGTTTGGATAACCGCGCATTGGAACGGATTTCGTATGTAGAGTACTTTCGATTTTCCAAACCAAGAAGGAATAAAGCTGAGATTTATTCCGGGGATTTTCTGAAATCACGATTTTTATCTGAACGAATGAATTTAACAGTTTTTACAAATGTCATGGATTTATTTTGTGGAAATGATGATACGTTTATTTGGACTTAAAACTACGCCGATGGAATCGGTTCAAACAAAAAAAAGGGTTCGGGAAGAAAAGAAATTTGCATCGCAACTAAGTCGGCGAGGAATGAAAATGCCTCTCCGAGGCTATTTTAAATATGAATACGGTCCACTCTTTCCTTCCGCTTCGTTTTAATGAAATTTTAACGAAATATATACGAAACGGCGTATTTGTTATTCAAATCGGTGTACTCGAGCAATAAGAAAACGAAACCCTTAAGTTTAAAGTAGCACTTAGTTAACGAAATTTTTTCTTTTTTACAAATAAATCTTATATCATCTATGTGATAAGTTTAATTCGCACTAACAAGTGTACAATTAAACTTTGCAAACTAATTAAATTTCCGCTGTCAGAAATTCTAGGTGTACTAAAAGTTTAAGTAAATTAAAGATTTTAATGCCTAAAAGTTACTTAAACTTACACGTTTGAAATTAAAATTTTTTAAACATAAAACATTTTGGAGATAAATTGTGTTACAATGAAAAGAGGGCTTAAAATTTATGAAATCATGGACCGGAAATTTGTGATTTAAACGTAAAAGCTCTGGTAGCTTAATAGACTACAAATTGCGATGTATTCGTATTATTAATATACCAAATTTTCAAAAAATCATATCAACTCTATTTTTAAGAATCACGATTTGATATATATGTTAAATTGTAGCTTAAAGATTCTAGTTTATGATATGATATAAAAACTGTAAGATAATATTATTAAAATTTCCAGAAAAAAAGTGTTAACAAAGCAACTGTCAAATTTATAAATCATTAATAATACGAAATTTTCAAAAAATCATATCAACTGTAATCTTAAGAATCATGATATTCCTATATTAAATTGTAGAAAAAAATAACCCCTCAAAACCATAAACATCGGTTTCGTTATTAATTTAGAATTTTATTGGAAAGATACAAATACATTTGGTGATAAATCACCGTCCTATTTCGATTTAATCTCAATTCCAGTAAATTACTATTGTACAATCAGAGTTACGAATTAATTGATGTTTAAATTGTAGTTAGATTATTGGATTAGTAGTGAGTTGAAGTTTATAAAATAAAAATACGGTTCAATGTGTTTTATTCTGTTTTCAGTAAAAATAATAAATGTGACATCTTTTCGTAAAAGTTTTGTGGGGCGAGACTTTATCTTATCTTTCCCGCGGATAAACTAGGATTACAATAAAATATACCCAATTTTACCTCCTTACTTAGAATTACGTTCGGCTCTCTTCCACCCTAAAGGTATGTTCCGTGTCATCCCGGTTTAACCCGGTTCCTACTCGGGAATATCTATCCAGTGCTGCGGGGCTAGTTTATGTAGACATATGCTGCAGTTGGAAGGGATTTTAGGGATCTGTTTCTCCGCCTAGGGTTACGTCACGAATTGTTTACTACCACCGCGTATACATACAACGTTGTACACCTTCAAGAGATTACCCGATATGTACACAAACTATGTGGTTTGTAAATGTTCACGATTTACATTGGTTTCAATTACCCTATTTATCTTATTTACTATTTAACAATTATAATGTTTATTCGAATTTCCTTAAAAGAAATATTTTTAGAAAGAAAGAACCACACGTTTCCTTTTATCTCCTTCCAATTCATCAAGCAATAAGTCCGCACGATCGTGCACGGAACCGAAACTGAGAAATGGGAATGAAGGAAGAAAAATGCGAGTTAGTTAGCGACGATTGATTCCTCCCCGTTACTTTTTGTGCCTCATCCGATTGCCTTCGTAAGAATTCCTCCAAGAAAAAAAAAACGAGATAGAGAACATCTTCATTGTTTATTTTAGTACTCGAAACAGATCAAATCTTTTCCAACTCCGAACCTATGAGTCCTCTTGAGTTCTCCCTTCCTAGAATCATTAGATTTATTTGTCATAAATCATAAAAATATTAAGAATTTAAGCCGATTTCGTTTCAAATTGTCATTGGATGGAAGAATTTTTGTTGTTGAAAAATATATACTGATAAAAAAGCTGGTAAAAAATAAAGCCTCGGTTGCAGTGATTTGTTTATGTTTACAAATACAAAAAACGCAGGGAAGCGAAAAATATTTGGTAAAGCAAACGGTTTGAACGCATATATTTTAGCCATATAAACGGGCCGGTAAACCCCCGTTTTTATGCTATTTATTTGGTGATTAATTTACGTGTAAACGACGCTTTTTATTACCGATTTTGCGAGTTCGAAAACCGTATTTATAAATATATACATAAACCGAGTAATATTAGTGATAAAACAAAAATATTAAAAATATAGAGTATATGTAGCATTTGTGCTATATTGCTATTTTATTCATTTCTGTTTTAATAAATTTTCAAAATGTTATTTTTGAAAATAACTGTTTATCCCTTATAATGAGAAAATGTCTTATTATGTTTAAAAATTAATATCTCAAAAACCAAATGATATGTTGAAAATCTGTTTCTTTCATTGAAAAGCTGATAATTTATATTATAAGTGCTGATAATTTCATAATGATTTTGTGAAATCCCGATTTGTTATGATTTTTTGAAAATAACTGTTTATCCCTAATAATGAGAAAGTGTCTTATTATGTTTAAAGTTTAATATCTTAAAAACCAAAAGATATTTTGAAGATCCGTTTCTTTCATTGAAAAGCTGATAATTTGTATTATAAATGCTGATCATTTCATAATGATTTAGTTAAATCCCAATTTGTTATGATTTTTTGAATATGACCGAAAATAATTGTTAACCCCAAAAAATGAGAAAGTGACTACTATGTTTAAAAAGTAATATCTCAAAAACCAAATGATATTTTGAAAATCCATTTCTTTCATTGAAAAGCTGATAGTTTGTATTGTAAGTGCTGATAATTTCATAAAGATTTAGTGAAATCCCGATTTATTATGATTTTTTGAAAATGATTTTAAATACAGTATATCCCGTAAAATGAGAAAGTGTACCTTGTCAACATATTCAGCCACCTATTGCCTTCTCCCCGAATAAATTTTGTGAATATATTAATAACGGCTTTAATTTAATATAGTCGACAGAGTAGATGTAGATTTATTAAACATTGGAAGTTCAGCTTATTGATCAACCAAACCATTTCGAGAAACAATTCCGAGACTTTAATAGATATTTCTGCACGTTCCTGTAAGGAATTTATTCCGGTAGCTTTCCCACATTTCCCGAAATCTCATCCTAGGCTTACACTGTCATTTGAGGTATGCTAATGTTCATATTATCTCCACATTTCGAACAAAGAGAAATTTAATCTTGTTAGAATTAATTTTTGATGTCAAAACTTTTAAAATCAAACATAAATCTTTTCATAACTCTCATAAACACCTCTCGAAATGAATTTCATTTTAAAACCTACAATTTATGCAAATTTATGGTATTGAAGTGAAGAAGAGTTGATTTTCAATGGAAACGTTCTCCAAGTTTGGAATGAAACGTTCCATTCCCCTCTAAATTTCTAAGTGGAGAATACGCGAAATTTTGTATATGAACCGCCGGAAAATCCGCACATAATTGCGGAGTCTTTGTTTGCTGGACACTTTATATAAAACCATGGGTTCTCTCCTAATTTTGTTTGATTTTTTTCGTTTTATTTTCGGGCGAGCTGCGCCATAAATCCACCTAAGTGGTTTATAAAAGTCAAGAGCTTAATTCTACCCACTTCGCTACCGTATAATGTTTAGTTAGCTCTTATTTTATCGAGACTAAAAAATAAATATATTAAAAGTACACTTAATTTTTTTTTATTTCAGGAACATGAGATCTAATAAAGAATGCATCATCCTCCTCCTATTTTTGTCGATACAAAAAGGTGAGTTTTAACATTTACTTCCCATAAAACCATTATTTAATCTATATATTGATTTATTTCTTTTGTAGTGTGTTTAATTAAATAAAATTCTAAAATTCCAGTATCACTTTAAAAGTGATTTCGCGTTCGACGGGATTTAATACTTTTTGTTCTATTTCTATTATTTGTTTTTTGTGTTGAACGTTCTGGATTTAAATCCGTTGAAACGTTGAAAATTACTCGGCATTGTACAGGATTGCAGGGGCGCAACACCTGAAATTACTTAGGGACTATTGTTGAATAATGGGCGAATGCAGCGGTAAATGTCGTCGGTATCGAGACAAAGAACGCCGTAAATTGGTTTTGCGTCTGTGGTCTCGCTTACAAAAGACCCTCTTCCCTATTTCTCTTTTTATAAAATCCTTTCTGTTTTTTTATCTTTAAATGCCTAAAAAAACTTTAAACCGCCTTAACCATTTTTTCTTTTATAGCTAAATATTCAAAATCATTGAAATGAATGCATTAAATTGATGCGTTCGTGTTGAGAACGGCGGGGTTTTGAACAACTTTGTTTTCTTAAGCTTCAGGATCCAAGTTAAAGTCTACACTGTAGCCGTACAAATTCCCATAAAATCCCCCGGGGCTCTGTTTTACTTAAAAAGTTCATTACTTTCAACCAGAAAAGAGAGTCAGTGTAAGAGAAAGAGGGGGTTGTGGAAGAGAGGGCGCGTAATAAAATGGTCTCTGGGTTTCTGCTCGCCTTAGCTAACACGACACTTGACTTTACATGCCACTTTGTCTTCTCTTTAATCGAATACAATACATTCTGCTTAGTTTTTCACCCACCGCAACTTAATTGAGATGTTGAAAACATCATTTATTATAAAATGTCGATTCATTTTTTTGTATATTAACTTATGTGAGCTTTAAATATGTCATTGGTCAAATAATTTATAGTTGGAAAAGTTGCCAAAGTTTGTGCAAGGTTGGATATGTATATGTGTGTGCGGTAAGATTAAAGTAGCATTCTGCAAACGCATACAAAAATCCCAATTTATGGCCGTAGAGATTTATTCTTAGTCTGTAGTAGTACTGGCATCCAATCTCCTTCGGTTCCTTACGGTCGGCATCTCCCCAGTTGGAAACCGTACGATATTAGTCTTCGAGGGATAATATCTTATCGATATCTTTTGTTTTCAATATGTGCAAATAATCAAAAAAATTATTATTTTTCTTTCACAACTTTTATTGTTATCGTTATTGTTATTAGTTCGTAAAATAAATACAACGTTATAGAACATTTTATGGATTATTTTCAGCCTTATTTACATTATGCATTTGTTGCCTTCCATACAACTAAACGATAATCAAGTTTTATCCAGCTTCTAAACTATGTTCTAGGTTAGTTATAATTGTCAAGCAAAAACTTTCCTTTTATGAGTTTTCCTTTTATTTAGTGAAAATTTCATATTACTTTATTGCTTTGTTGTTTTCCTGTGACCGATTATATGTGCACCATGACTTTACGGACACACTATTCATAAACAAATATCCGCCTATTCCAAGAAGGTTTTATTGTGAATGTAGTTCTACTTCTCAAGAAGTAGAATATTAACAAAAGTATCACTAAGTGTTAGATGCATTGGCAGAACCAGACCAGCTCTAATAAAACAGTCAGCATATCCGTGATTGGATTGAGCAGAAAATGATCTTTGAGCATATTATACCTACAAATTTATAGATATCTGTTTAACTCTACACACCTTCCTCCTATCTTTTGTGAGATAGTGTTTTTAGTCCGTCTTAGTTAATGTCTTAATGCTTCGTTATTATGATTCGATAGGTTATTAAATATGGAGGCTGAAGAATTGTGATCATTTCTTCGGAGAATAATGAATTGAAATTCCAAAATGTTAGAATATTTATTTAATTTTTTTTAAGGATTGTTTATTCCTTTAAAGTACCTGTATCTTCTCAACTGACGAATCAATATCCCCCTCAAAGGTGCCACACCCTATTTCCCTTATCCGTGGATCGAGTAAGAGATGAGATTTCATTACTATTGGTGGCGGTCAAGAAAAGTGGCGAACACGGATAAAAATAAAACTAAGAAAACATCCGGGATTAACGCTACATTAATCCGAAACGGTGGCGGCGGAAATGCGTTTCTTCGGGTTGGGTCTTAATTTATTCGATTTGCTTTCGTTCCTGCTTGGAAGGGTGGTTGGGTTGGATTTCGTTGAGTTTGAGTCGATGTAATTCAACCCCCGGGTCGTTCTGTCACGGTGAAGGATTTTCAGAGCGCTCGCTTTCGCGTTATTTCTTCCTTTTTTGATTTTTTCTTTTCGTTTCTTTTTTCCTTCCGCCGATTCCGCCGCGGCCGATTACCAGCGTCGTCGGTTATGAATTTTTAAGCGACGTCACCCGTTTTGTTATGCCGATTTCGACGACGTCGACTTTCATCGTCATCGCAAATTGCCAACGTTATTTGAATACATTTTTCAAAAGCGGAAAAGTTTTCCCTTTCAAATACACAACGTAATTTTTTTTTCGGTTGTTTATTATTTCTTTTTTTATTGAGAGTAAAGAGTCAAAATCGATTAAATTTGAAAGTCGGAGTCTTTTGTAATGGTTTAGGATTCGTCATGAATTAAAGATGCGAACTAAAGAAGGCCTAAAGCAGTGACCTTCTTTACATTCAGGGTTTCATCGGTAAAAGTCGAGGATTCCTTTTTCGCCTTTCGTGCGTAATCAAGATTGAAAAGAAAAAAATCCCGTGAAGTTCCGATATGCAAATTTTTTTTTGATATGCAATTCTTCTTTGTTACTATTGAAATGAAAAATGTTAAATCACAAATGAAATATTGAAATTACGTAATTGTAAATCTAAAACAATTTTATTACTCATTGTTACCAGATAGTGTGTAATTTGGTGGGAAATAAGTGGGGCATAAACAAGTTTTATCATCCATAATACAAAACAATGCGCGTGCTTTCGAGTTTATGGCTCGTTTTAATGAATTAATATTCACATTTTAGATCGTTAATAATTTATTTTGGTTTCGTTGATAAATTGGTTCTTGAGTTTGGGTTAAAGTTATAACTTGAACGTTAAATAATTCACAGGGCATCGGTAAACGTCACTTTGTGTAACGGTGGTTCACAAAGAGAAGCTCCATTACGGGTAAATACAGTTTGGGAATTTGGTCACAACATTTCTAATACATTTCCAACCTGCTTCGTATAGGAGACCCTCACATACTGTACAGCAGTTTAACCAACTCCCTTGCGACACATCAAAGCTATTTATTATTCATAAATTTCCTTTCAGGAAAACTCCCAAACGTTATTATGTTTTAAAGACCACGTCAATGTACCTTATAAATTGAAGTTGTTAACAATTTTGTTTTTAAATCAATTTTTCAACTTCAATTCGAACAAATCACAAATCGATAATAATTACAAGGCGTTTTGTTACTTTCCTCGATTTTTTTTTGCGAAGGAACAGTGATTGATTGCTCTTTCTTTCTGTAACCATCTGGGGATTTAATAAAAATTTTCCTGAACACTCTTCGAGAACAGAAACATCATTTCCTTTTTATTTTGGAACTGGGAGCAAAAAATAAAGAATGTCGGGAAAGGAGCGAGATGATTAATGATCAAAAATCTCGCTACACTCTGTCACGGAGCCTGTTAAGTGTATTAAAACACTTAAAACAAATTACCAGACTTTTATCATTATTAAAAGAAAAATTTCCTGTCTTACCAGCATTGTTATTCTTTTAAATTTTTCTTAACTTGAATACGGAATGGAAGGGTGGTAAAGGTGTGACTAGGCCAAGGGTTTTGGCATTGTGATGAAAAATCAATCATTCACCAAACACCTCTTCAAACCTCCATGAAAATTTCAGCATCTCACGAATATTATAAGCCACATTGTTTACGGTAAAGCCCTTTACAATTATTTCGATATTCTATATTTCAGATATTTTCCGGGAAACACAAGCCCAATTAATTCCAGGCAATAAATTAACATGGTGGGTAGTCAAACAACCCTAACAAATTATTTTTGTTCCAGTCTCGAACAAATAAAATGCAACCAATGAAACCATCATTTCGAAAATTGCAATTGAGAGACAAGCATTAATTTTATTTCGTGTTCGCCGATACGTATTATTCCTCATTTATTTCAAATTAAATTAATTCAAAGAACTTTTACAACCGAAAACTCAATTAACACCACTCCGATAACAATTTGCATAATAACCACACTCTAATCAAGTATTCAAGAACCATATTCGCACGTTGGGTAGCATGTGTGCGTGTCTAGGATTCATTTGGTAGCGGGTTTGGAAGATATTCCGGCGATCGGGCGTTAAATTTCGCACACTTCCTGTTTCCGGGTTACGTTCCTAACAGATCAAGGGGTTCCCAGAACGCCTCTAATTAAACATAGTTGTCCCGAGCACACAAATGCATTAATTGATGTCACCCGTTCACCACGTGACGACAATGTCCTAGAAATGGACTTATCTCAAGTGTTATTGTTCACTACCAAATAAATTGTTAGTCTGCAATTAGATCACTAACAATTATGTTAAGTTGAAGAGTTACTATTTTAATTAATAGATTATATTAATTAACATGATTATAGTACAATATTATACAAGATGTAAAATCACGATTTCATCTAATTTTTAGTTATTCGAATTTTTCTGGATATTTATGCATCTTACAGCAAAAATGTAAAAGAGCAATATTGTTAAGAATAAAGTTATCTACAACTTTTATACTAAAACTTTTTTTCTAAATCGTTTAGAATCCCGTGTGCTATTAACAACAAGATGTAAAACCACGATTTCACCTAATTTTTACCTTTTCGAATTTTTCTGGATATTTATGCATTTTAGAGCAAAAATGTAAAAGAGCAATATTGTTAAAAATAAAGCATGATTAAGCTTTCGAATGAGATATTGTTCATCGAAATCTATCTACAAATAAAAATAATTTCAAAATCGTTTTTTACGCATCAAAATTGGTGGAGGCGCCGGGTATTTTTATTTAATTATTATTTTTAAAGTAAAACCGTCTTAAAAAAAGCTCATCACCTTTAACTTTACTACGTTTTGTAGTCAAACGAGTCCGTTTACATCGTTCGCGAGCGTCGCGACGCCTCCATCTAGACATCTACTTCCTTTTCCTTCATACCGTTCTTTCCTTCTCGTGCTCGTTTATTTACGCCTTGAGGCGTCTGGTATTGGGTAATATAATCCGGGTAGAGTATAGTACGGCCGCTTTTCGCTTGTAAAAGCCGATCTGGTATCGACGCCACCGACCCTCCCCATCTAAAGCCGAACCGACTCTTATCTTATCCTGGACTTACCGTCCAACCTAATCATCGACGGAAGTCGCCGGCTATCTAAAGCCAAAACTACCGTCGGATGTCTCCAAGTGTAATAGAATTAGATAGTAAAGTTTGGACCATTTATTTCAATTTTTAATATATTTTTTTCTTCTCTTTTCAGATTGTGCGGCAACCAATTTAGCACCATCATTTTCATTAGACATGAACAATTTCGTTTTACCAGAAAATACAAATGTAGGTGAAGTCGTTTATCGTTTGGAAGGTTCTGATCCGGAAAATAGTCCGGTTCATTTCAGTCTCTTTGGAACTGACCTACTCGAAGTAGATTCTGATAATGGTCAAGTTAAATTGGTCAAACCTTTAGATCGTGAAATTAATGATACGTTAAATTTCTTCGTCAGTATAAGAGATGAAGTCAAAGATGCTCCCGTTGGCGGTGATAACGTCGTAACAATTCCCGTTACGATTATAGTTTTAGACGTAAACGATAACGCACCAATCTTTCAAAATGTGCCATATAACATTGAAGTTAAAGAAGATACCCCAATTAACACAACGATTTTTAATGAAATCATCGTAACCGATGTGGATACAGTTGGAGAAACTTTAGAGGTTGAATGTGTTGAGCTGCCAGAATACTTAAATGCTTGCGAATCGTTTAAAATAAAAACGATCGAATCAGATCAAAATAAATATTTAGGAGAGATTGTTCTTAAAGATATTTTGGATTATTCCATTCAGAGTGGTTACGCTTTTTTATTAAAAGCAAGCGATAGCGAATTGGAAAATACGACTTTAGTTAATATTACGATTAGAGATGTTCAAAATACTCCGCCAAAGTTTTATGGGTCATTAGAAGCTGAAGTTTATGAAGATGTTCCGATTAATACTTTAGTTATGACTGTTCATGCTGAAGATGGGGATAGACAAATGCCAAGAAAGATTATGTATGAATTAGTTAATAGTAAGTTTTAATTTGTTTAAATTTATTAAAAAAACTAATTAATGTTTTTTTGTTTTAGACCCGATGAATTATTTTTTATTAGACGCCGTAACCGGAGAATTAAGAACCGCAAAACCGTTAGATCGCGAAGCTTTAGACAACCCAAGTGGGGTTTTAAAATTTAATATAAGGGCAAGAGAATTAGTCGATGGTAATAAAATCGAAGATCCTTCAATAATGACAACGGTAGAAGCAACAGTTACTATAAAAGATGTTAATGATGAACCACCAAGTTTTAATCAAAGAGAATATTCAGTTGAAATTTCTGAAGATATCGCGGAAGGTTCACCACTTCCCGGACTTAATATGATTGTAAAAGATCCCGATTTGGGCAACAACTCAATTTTTTCGTTAACCCTTCAAGACATCTCCGGTGTATTTTCCGTCGAACCAAAAACGGCGAAATCCTCAACAAACGTTTCCATAATCGTAACAAACTGTTCCTTAGACTACGAAGATCCAAATCAACGACAATTCATAATTTTAGTAATCGCCAAAGAAATCCAAACCGATTTGTTATTATCATCAACGGCCACCGTTAAAGTTACGGTCACAGACGCGAACGATAACGCACCTACTTTTGACCAAGATGCCGGTTACACGGCTGTTATTTCAGAAATGGCCACCGGAAGCACGTTGGTTACGACGATTGTTGCGAGAGATAGAGATTCCGGGCGATTTGGCGAAGGCGGAATCGTTTATCAATTAGTTGGAAATGGAGCCGAAAAGTTTATTGTTAATGAACGAACCGGTGCTGTTACTGTAAAAGAATGTGAAACTCCCGGAAGGGAACCTTGTTTAGATTTTGAAATTAAACCGGAATATTTTTTGCAATTTAAGGTAAGAATAAAAATAAGTCAAAAGAAAGTTAATTTCCTACATTCGTCTTTACACAATCGTATAAAATCGATTAGTTAAAAAATCGTTCTGAAAATTACACAACTTGTAAAGTAATTTGTGATTTTTCTAATGGAATAAATCGTTTTTGAAAATATCATTTAGTTTTTGAGATAACATTTTTTTTAAATCATCATTTTGAAGTTGTTTCAATTCTCGATTTTTATCTTAATTCTTTATCATAAAATAAAAATAATTTAATCATAAACTCATTTTATTTTTATAATTTTTAGGCAACAGATGATGATGGTAAAGGCCAAACATCTTTAGTGCCTCTAAAAATAACATTAATGGATCAAAATGATAACCCACCGATGTTCACCCAACCAGTTTACAGAGTTTTCATTAACGAAGGGGCTTCAAAATTCGATCCCGAGGTAACAATAACAGCTAGAGACATGGATAAAACATCGAAATTAATTTATTCGATAATCGCTGGAAACGATAACGATTTATTTAAAATAGACTCGAACACAGGAAAATTAAAAGTATCAAATAACAAAGGTTTGGATTTAACGAACGATTCAAAAACGAACGATAATATAGTTTTAACAATCGAAGCTAATGATGGAAAATTCACAACGACAACAATGGTTAATATAACAATTAAAGATGTCAATAATAACAACCCGATTTTTGAAAAGGAGAATTATTTACTCGACGTTGCCGAGGATGTATCAATCAATACGAGCGTTTTAAAAATTAAAGCTCACGATGCTGACGTTGGTTTAAACGCCGAAATTCGGTATAAATTCCAAAAAGGGAGTTTCGAAGATTTTTCGATTAATAATGAAAGTGGTGTTGTGACTGTTTCATCGAAATTAGATTACGATAGGAGGAAAACTTATCACATTGAGGTTGTTGCAACTGATTTAGGAGAACCATCTTTAACGGGAACAACAACGTTAATTGTAAATATTATTAACACTAATGATAAATTACCATATTTTGTGCCAACGACTCAAAAAACTGAAGTAATGGAAAATGCCCCAATTGGAAGTGTTATTTATACTTTAATTGCGTTAGATCAAGACGTAAATACGTCGGAATCGTTAAATTTTGCTGCTACGGAACCGATAACAGCGCTGGATAAATTTGGGAAACAAATTTTAGATAATGAGATTTACAAGGAATTCTTCTCCGTTGATAAAAACACGGGGAAAGTGATTGTAATGAAAGAATTAGATAGAGATGTAGCCGCCGTTATAAGAATTACCATTTTAGTAACTGACATAACAGCTCCTACTTTACAACAAGGTGAAGGTATTTTAATTATAACAGTGAGCGACGTAAACGATTCACCCCCATTTTTTGTTCCACCTTGGAGGCCTGATTTACCATTTTACCATTTAGATTTGAAAGAAGAATTGCGAATCGGCACAATTGTTGCTACATACATAGCTCATGATGAAGATTCCGATATCGCCGGATACGTAATCGATCCACCGAGTGAATATTTCGAAATAAATTACGGAACCGGAATCGTCCAAATTAAAAAAGAAATTGATTACGAAAAAATAAAATCGTTAAATTTTACTGTTATCGCATCAGATACTGGGGTTCCTCAATTGAATTCTTCGGCCACTGTTATTGTTAGCGTTAAAAATATTAATGATAATGACCCGATTTTTTCGCAAAACGAATATAATGTTTCAATCAATGAAAATTCGCCGGTTGGAACTCCGATTTTAACCGTGAAAGCCACCGATTTAGATGCTGATGAATTTGGGGTGATTACTTACAATCTAATTGGAGAGCACAGCGAAAATTTCGTGATTAACCCAAGAAGTGGGTTGGTCACCGTTGGAAATAAAGAATTTTTAGACCACGAAATCATTAATGAAACGACGATTCAAGTCGTCGCAGTTGATGGAGCCCCCGGAAATTTAAAACGCTCATCTTCAGTTCCTATTCATATTCAAATAATTGACATAAACGATAACGCCCCGAAATTTAATCAATCACACTATAACGCCAAAGTGATTGAAAACGTTCGATTAAACCCACCAACTCCTATTTTACAAGTTCACGCAATCGATAACGATGTTCACAGCCATATTCGTTACAAAATAGTCGAAGGAAACAAAGATAATTTATTCCTCTTAAGTGATGAAACTGGAGTTTTGTACCCCCACAAATCTTTAATTGGAAACACAAATGAATTTAATTTAATAATAGAAGCTTCGGATGGGGAAGGTTCCGATTCTTTATCCGATAAAGCCACCGTTAATATTAAAGTAATGAACGTCAACGAACACAAACCGAAATTTATTTTACCAGCTTTACAAAATTCGACTTTAGAGATAACCGAAAATTCGGCTACAACCAATTATTTAGTGTTAACAGTTAAAGCTTTCGATAAAGACATCGGCGAAAACGGAAGATTAACTTATCATTTACGCGTCAACGACGAAAACGTACAAGAAACCGAAGAATTTTCAATCGATGAAGAAACCGGGGAATTAAGAAGCAAAAAATATTTAGATCGGGAAGTAAAAGGTCGCTATGAATTAATTTTGGTCGCTAAAGATCACGGTAATCCTTTGTGGTACGAAACTTTAGCACATTTAACCATATTATTGGTCGATATGAATGATAATCGCCCCGAATTTCCCGACTCGCAAACAACAAATCCTTACGTATTTTATGTAATCGAGAACGGCGATAAAAACGAAAAAATCGGGCAGGTTAAAGCTTTAGATCGAGATGAAGGCCAACACGCTAAAGTTTATTACTATTTATTATGGAACGAAAACGATAATAAAGCCTTTTATATCGATAAAAACGATGGCGGGATTTACACGAATAAATCTTTCGATCGCGAAACCAAAGACGAGTATGACTTGTATATTTTCGCGACAAACGATGATGAATTTTATTTAATAAAAGAAGATAAAAACGATATCATTGAAAACGAAATAATCGCCCACAACAGTAGCATAGCTAAAGTTAAAATAATAATCAAAGATTTAAACGATAACATCCCAAAATTCGAACAAAACGTTTATTACACAGCTGTTAACGCAATGGCTAACATAAACGATTTTATAACAAACGTAACAGCAATCGACAACGACGAAGGTTTAAATGGAACCTTAAAGTATTTCATTAAAGCATCTAATTTGTATAAATACGGTTCAAGTACAAGTTCTGGTTCGATTATCCCATCACCTTTCAATATAACTCAAAACGGTCAATTAAACACAGCAACTTATTTAGCTGAAAACAACCAGCATAGATTTATAGTTGATGTGATTGCGCGAGAAGTAGCCTTCCCCGAACGAGAAGCAACAACAAAAGTACACGTATGGATTTTCGAACCAAACCAATTAATAAGAATCATCTTATCAAAACCCGTTGAAGAAGTTTTAAGAGAAAAAAATGAAATTTTAGCCGAATTAAGTAACGCAACCCAAAGTCGAGTTATCATGGTTGATATACGCTTTAACACCGACGATATGGGCCACAAAAACGAAGAATGGTCTGATATGTACATCTTAGTGGTTGATCCATCAACTCATACAATTCTTCCAGTTCCCGATGTACTTAAAGTTGTCGATGCAAAATACGATTTTTTGAAAGATTACTATTCGGGATTTGCAATCGAAAACGTCTTGCCGGCGTTAATCGTCGAAAAAGAAGACGTTTTCGATCCAGCTTTAGCAGCGCTTATCGCCCTTTTAATAGTTTTATTCGTTGGAGTAATTACTTTTATCGTCGTTTGTTGTTGTCTACGACATTGGGCTATTTCGCCAAATAATCTTAAGAAAAAGGACGCTTTAATTAAAAAGGCCATAATCGACGATTTAAATACAACCGAAAATCCACTTTGGATAGAACAAAAATTAAAAATTTACGAAGAACAAGAATTAACAATGCAAGTTTTTAACGAACCCGAAAACGGCTTGAATCGAAGAGATAGCGATGACTTAGTTCCGGATGATAACACTTACGCTACTATTCAACATCCGAATCGAAGGGGATCATCACATGTAGCTACTTTATCCATGGGTCATGATGATATGGCTGATTATGCAACGTTATCTGGGGTGCCACATCATTCCATAAGTGCCAATAGTTCTTTGAGAGGTGCACCAAATGTAAGTTGTTTTAAAATTTTTTTATTGTATAGTAGAACCCCGATTAACCGTGGTTTTGGGTCAAAAATTATAAATGAAATTATATTGCCTCTGAAATATCAGCTGATTATGGTAACTCAAAACTAGTACTTTTGATTAAATAGATATGCCAACAGAAGACTACATAATGCTAGGAAACCTCTAAATATTGCTGGCAGAAGATTATATTAAGCTGGCATCAAGTATAGGTTTTTCCAATTCTGTTACATTTAAGCAACTCAGGCAGAATGATTAATAAGACTTGGATGGTTTTCTTGTATAGTTATTTACATGATGAGGTCACAATACAGACCTCGATCGCGCTTTATCTTTAATTGTCTAGATTACAACTCAGTTATTTCTTTTTTGTTAATCTTATCAGGGATATTTATTGGTAGATAAGGACCAACCCAGATAATCGTGGTTCTACTGTATTTAATTTTCCTTATTTTCATTTTTGGAACCGGATGAGAATTTGATCAGATTATTTTAATCAAAGTGCTCAAGATAAGTGCCCCAACAAAATTTCGCATCCGTTTTTTCAAATAATTTTTTAATTGATCATTCATTCAATTTTGTGTATTTAGTTTTATGAAGCAGCAATGGGCTTCCAAGGATCAACATTTCAAGTTCCAGAACATGCGGGAAGTACCAGCGATTCTTTCGACGACTTCCGGACGAGATTTAAAGGATCTGGTTTGACGATAAATAACGATGGTCAACCGGAATTCGTAGCCGAATTGATATAACACGACTTTTGTTTAAAAAAAAATAAAAAGATGAATGTGAATGTGGTGATAAGACAATATTTGAAAGAAAATTAATTAAAGCGAAATGAATGGATAATCGAGACATTCCATAAAACCTTTGTGTTTCTATACATCTCATTTTTTGTATTAAAAAAAACTGTCAGGGAAGTGATACAACTTATTTATTGTACGAGTTATGTTCCACAAGTTTTATTTAATCGATTAGTGTAAACTTGTGATTTTTTTAGATACTCTTTTTAATCTTACTAAATTTTTTTTAGTCATTCCGTAAATTTTTAAGTTTTTATACTTCTCCAATTAGCCATATCATAATAACTATAAAATACTCAACTTAATTTATTATTTTTACTATTTTTTTTTAGTTAAGGATAAAAAAACCGTATGAAAATGAGTCAAGATGTAGAAAGTTATATACATTTGTACATAATAAAAATTAAAAAAAAATAAATATGTTTGTGTATAAAAAAAAATATTTAAATATCCCTGTTTTTTATTTTTAATCAAAACATTTTTAAAAAACATTAAAAACACATAAAAATAAAGTTTTCTATCCTAAAAAAGATTAATATATTTTTAATAAACTCGATACACTTTCATTAAAAAGAAAATCCCTCCTTATTAATTAAATATATTCATAAATAAAGATGATTTTAAGATGCAGCCACAGTTTCAACACCATTAGCAACCTGCCTATTATGAGTAGCTTTAAAACTTTTTGGTGAAACAGGTGGTTGTAAAGTTTCAAATTGTTGTCGAATTTCGTATGTTTTATTCGTCGTGGTGTTTGTAACGGTTGTTTGCGGGATAATTTTACTTTGTGGTTGATTTTGAACCGATTTTTCTGTTTCTTTAGTTTTAACTTGTTGTGCCAAAACAACCGCTAATTGTTCCAAGACGTCAGTAACAACAGTATTAAGTTGTTTTAAAATTTCCGTAAAACTACGCGCTCTTAAAACAGCTCTATCAAACACTGCCAAGCCAACTCCTTCTAAATGAACCGTTTTTAATAAAGAATTAACAACTTCGATGCATTTCTTTGTAACGCTTCTTATATATCTTGTGCCTTGTCTTGGAAGTTTACTAACACCCGCGCTTGTGAAATTAACGAAATGAACGATTCTTCGAGCTGATTCTCTCGTTAACATTACGATTAGTTGTTCTAACGTTTCTGGTCGTGCTTGATTTTCGGGTTCATCTTTGCTTAATGTAGCCCAAAGTTCTTTTCCTTTTTGTATCGCCAATTTTGGATCTGTGTAAACTAATTCAGCTACGTAAGCTAAAACGTGAATTGCCTCGGCGCTTTGTTCTTTTAAAGCTCGCGCTTCCGCCAAAGTTCTACTTGTTAATCGACGTCGAAGTTTTCTTGAAAATCTTGCCGTATGAACAATCGTTTGAATTGCTTTATTAGTTGGGCCATCGGGATATTTTTTAGATGAGACATCTTTAAAAATAAAATAATTTAATTATTAGTTAGATTATTATCAAATTTTTTACCGTCATTTAATTGTCCATCTGTTGTATCAGCAGGAAGGTATTTATCCACATATTTATCAGCAACGTTGAGAGCCCCATCTAATTTATCAGCGGCAAATGCGGTGTATTTGCTGGATAAAACGGCGTTTCCAATTTGTTTAACTGAATTGGTACGTTTTAAGACTGGCTTTACAATTCTTCCACTCACATCGGTTACATAACGTTTGGTGTTGTAATAAATCTAGGAAAAAATTAAAAGAATTAATATTTTTTTTGTAATTTTTAAAAAATAAGAAATCATTTTAAATAATAAAGAAAAAATGGTTATTAAAATGTTAATAGGTTATCTCGTTTATTTTTTCTTATAAACATTCATTGTTTTGGATGTAATAATCTATGTTTTTGCGTACGTTTTAATCTGTTCACTTTTTTTAATCATTTTATGATTTCCTATACATATCCAAAATATTCTGATTAAAATTTAAATTAATTTTTTTATAAATCCAACGATTTTGATTTGTTACAATAATACCGCAAAAATATCTAATTCAATACAAAAGGAAAGCTTTTAGATGTGTTGTACCACCAAGTGTGGTGAGACTAAATATACACTTCCAAACAAAGTAACAAAGTAAAGTAGTAGATTTTAGATACTTATCCACCGGGACTGCCTTGCTACTCAAATTTGTGCTGCGTAAGATTTGTAAGTTTAAACAGACAAGTTTTGCTGCTTTAAATGTTACATTGCGTTCTGAGGACTACTTGAACACCGCCAAAAAAACGATTGTCAAGTTTGTCAGATTGCAATACCTCTATGCAAAAAAAACTTGTTATTTGTTGAAACTGGTATTTGGGTTGCGGTGCGTTAGGCGCCGGTTGTGAGATACCTCTTAATCTGATAAAAAAATATTATAAAATTGACTTGTTTTCTACTATCTCCTCTTTTAATAATTCGTGACGAACACCGAACATCTTCGTTAAAGATGAGGGCGTTACCTTTACCTTCGCTTACGTTGGAGAGGAATGATTCATCAAACGCAGATAAATATTTTTAATCCTACCGTGACTATCAATAATGAGTTGAAAAACATATCGAATCAATAACAATAATGGGCAAAATTTATGATTTTTTATCTTATTTGTGATAAGCGTTTCAAATATCGTTGTAGTAGCTAAAATAACTATTTTGGATAAATTTGATGGACCATACCAACGCCTTCTATCACCAAAGATTTATCCACACCTTTTAAATCTGGGAAATAACCCGAAAAAATGGTGAGATTAGTGTTTCCGCTATAATATTTAATATTAAACCGGATGTTGATAAGGTTATACTTTAATCCATATACCATAAAATATTGTAACAAAAACAAATTATATTTTTAATTCTTACCAGTTGTGGTGGAAGATTTATCGATGGTACTCTTTGTTCGACGATATCCAAGCTTTTACAAAGGACTTTGTCAACAGTTGATAAAGGTCCCTCAATAAAAAAAACCGCAGGAGAAGCTGAGTCTATAAATCCATAAATGGAATTCTCGGCCGTGTCGAGAGTCCATTGGAACAAATTGTTAGAATTCTAAAAATTATTTAGTTAAATAAAAATTTAGAATTAAGAAAAAATTATTACCTTAATTCTTTTATAAATATTTTCGGCGTATTTCCAGCCAGATTCAACGATTGGGAACTGTGTTATTCTTTCCACGGATTCTAATCGTGGTAGATGAACATCTTTTTTTTTTACCGCCACTAAAAATTAAGTTAAATAAAATAAAATTAAATAAATAAGAATTATTCAAAACAATATTATTCCATTGTTTATGTTTTAATAACAAAATCTAAATATAATTTTGTTGACAACGGAATTTAGAAGGAATTCGAATTGGAAATAATATTGATTGAAAGTTCAGAATAAAATTACAATATAATAAATTATTGAATAATTAAAAATAATAACGTTTACTTTTAATACATTAATTCACGTTAAATCATTTAATTCCATTACTTTTGTTTCGTAAACTATTTTTTTTAGAACGCGGAATCTTGCAGACATCCAAAGTACAAAACTTAAATAGACAAATGCGATAATTGACTCATCCTGTCTCGGGTCGTTAGATTCTTAATTATCAAAGAACTCAATCTGACCGTTGGACGGACGGTTTCTTAATCAGAAGATCCTTGTTTACTTAATCGTGTTAAAAAATAGTGTTTAAGAAAAATAAAAATCCTAATTAATTATATCAAAAGCTGATCGATTAAGTGAATTTTTTAAATTTTCAGTTTTACTCCTTATTGTTAGTAATATTTGGAAAGACTATAATAATCAATAAAGATTAATTTTAAGTGGTTTTACGTCCGATGCGATAAGATTTCTAATCTAAAGTATTTATTTTAAGAAAATTTATGATTATTATTTAAGATTAAATATAATAATGAAAAAGAGAAACAATAAAGATAAAAGGTATTTAAAAGCGACTTACTTTTTTGGAAGATTTCTTCTGTCTGTGATGTTACAAACTCAACTACTGAACGAAGTTTGCCAAGATCCTTCTGTAATGAGAGCGCCTCACGTATAGAGTGCGACTGATGCCCTATGACCTAAGATATGGATGCCCTGCCCCAAACACTGATAAACAACACGGATTTCACCGGCAAATCATATTTATTTTTCAATTAATTACTTCAAATAATATTTCTTTTTGTATTTGAAAAGATCATCATTTATTATGATATCTAAACCAACAAAAAATCTTTTACAATAGTTTCATTGAGCGTGGAGTTAAGCTCTATCATATGACAATGTTTCATATAAAAATCTTGATTTATTTCATAGTGAATTATTGTTGTTCATCCTTGTCAAGTAATAAGATGATGTAACTCATAGATATAAACTATTTTGACATGCACCAATAAGATTTCCAAAAGACATCCAAATCATTTATTAAATAAAATCAGCATCGTTAAGTGTTCTCGAGTTGTTTGTAATTGAGTAGAGTAATCTAAATCCTTTAAATATTCTGATAAACATCCATTTTAATTCTTTTGACTTGTTTTGTCATTATAATATAATTATGTTTCGAATCGATTTAAACCATTTTGACAAACATCAAGAAACTCTTTATTTTTTTTGAATCAGAAAATAATTGATACTTAAATTGTAGAAATAATTTTTTTAATAAATCAATGTACGATGTATTCAATCGTTTTAGGTATTGTTGGAATGTATTGTCAATTTTCTAGGTGTAAAAAAGCACTCATATCCGCAATTGAGAGATAAATAACAGCTCTATAATTTAATGAATCGTTAGAAAAACTTGAATTTATCGCTTCAATTTAAGGACAAGGTTATTTCGAAATTATTTAAAAGGCCGTTTTAGATGACATTAATAATCCTTTGGTAGTAATTTGGAGATTTAATAACAGTAAATTGGCCCCTTTATAACCTCAAAAGGTTTTATTTCTTAATCCCTAACCGTTTTAGAGAAAATAATTTTTTTTATTAACCTCACTATATGTATACTTGCATCCCAACCGGCAGCGGTGCTCATCATTCCAATCATTTTCACCCAGTCCTCTACACTTCATCTCCACATTGATATCCTGGACTAATGATGGAACGGATAGTGATATCTATCCGGCCATTATGGTTATAATTTCTGGTACACTTCTGAAGTGATACCCCACATTATTGCGATATTTGAATAAAAATGAAATTAATAAGAAACCGGCCGGATTATAAAAAATGGCCGTATACCGGATAGTTGCCGGATATCCGTTCCACCATCCCGGACCATTGTCTATCATTGAGTTTTGTGCCATCATTCTTTTTCTTATTTCATTTTCAACTCGGTCCAGCATAGTTATGTCGCAGCCCCTTCTCCAAAACATCATCTCTACTGCTAGCAGTCTTCGAGTTGTGTCTTTGTCTCTCACCCATACGTCATTAATGGTCCATTCGATTGATTCTCTGTCTCTTATTGATTTATTACTTGATTTAAAACATATTTTGGGAAGATTATCAAAAACAAATTCGTAAATCCTTAAAAATCTTTATATTTCGATAAGAATTGTGTATGTAATCTTGTATTGAATTAATCTCAATTACGAAAATTAGATTATTTTGGGATGATGGTGTAATAAAGACGATTACTAAAGATTTTATTATTATTGCGATATCCCGGATTAGTCATCGTAACTTTGACTTCAATTATAATATATTGTAATTCAAATATTTCATTGTAATTTTTAATAAAAGTTTAACTACAATCTTATCGAATAAAATATTAATCGAGATAAAAACAATTTTTTAACAATAACATATTTGAAACCAAAGCGCTAATAATTTTTTATTTCATCTGATGCATTTATCGATACCTGAGAGATAACGGCCTATCAAAGGTTTTAGCCATTATTATATGATGAAAAACACAATTAAATCTCCAGTGTGATTTTAACATTGTCATAGTGAATGTGAATGGGCGAGCTTAATTACGAGAATTTGTTCAATACCATTTTAAAATGACTAAATCATTTTGGATTTTCGGGACAATTTGTTTACTCGTTTTAAAAGTTTCAATAATCGATGCTAAACTGGAATTGATAGGACCCGATGATCCGAATATCGATTTTGTTGATTTGGCAGGTTCTGTTACTATCTCGATGGACGAGGAAAACCAAGGAGATGTTATTATCGCCCATATTATTCAGGATCAAGGAACGAATACTCCGGAAATTCAATTCATTCCTGCATCAGATTTAGAAGTTACCGGGATGAAAATTATTGAAAGTGGGGAAGAGAAAAAATTTAATCTTGTAGTCACGAAAAGGCAAGATTTCGAATCCGAATACAAATCGTTTGTTTTTGATATTTGGGATAACGTTGATGAGTTACAGAAACAGGTTAACTTGAAAATCAGAAATATTGACGATAACGTCCCGTTTTTAACATCCAATGATCTACAATGTTCTATTAAAGTATGTTTAAAATGAATACGATTTTTATTAAGAATTAATTAATTTTTTTAAATTACAATAGGAAGCTGAATGTTGTAACACTGGATGTGAGTATTTAATAACCGATGATGACAGGGAGCTGGGTCAAATCTCGTGGTTAATTAACGGTGAACTAACAGACGTAAGTCACTAAATCATTAATTTAATTTAAAATTAATCTTTGTTATTGAAGGAACGTTTCGAATTTGAGGGAATTTCTCCAGATAATTTAAAAGATAACGAAATGGCTATAACACTAAAATTAAGAAAAGAATTAGTTTACGGAGATGGTTCTTTTTACATAATAAATCTATCAATAAAAGATACGGTACACACAACAGATCCTACAAGAATCGCTGTTACTGTCATTGATGTTCCCAATTTACCTCCGGTTTGGGTTAAAATCTTTCAATCGAAAACATTTGAGGAAGAGTTAGAACAAGTAAAAAAATGGAAATTAATAAATTAAATTTAATAAATTCATTTAATTATTGTTTAGGAATTTCAAGTAGAAGCAAAAGATGGTGATATAGGAATCGATACTAAAATCTATTATCAACTCAATTTTGACCAAATCGAAGATTGGAATAATAAAGTTTCTATAGATCCCGACGGAAAAATCAGTGTTGCGAAATTAGATCGAGATGAGGAAAACCGCGATATTTACACTTTTAAGGTAAAAGCGTGCGAAGAAGGTAGTCCCGAGTCTGAAGAAACGTGTATTGAACAAGAAATCATATTCATTTTAAGCGATATAAACGACAATCGGCCGATTTTTACAATCGATCCACCAAGCGATATAACCGAAGAAAATATTATTTATCTCGAACTTTTAGAAACAACCGCAAGCACAATTTCAACGAAAATTAATCTTAACGATATAGATACGGTATTAAATTTCGATTCGAGTTAAACTTAAATTAATTAATTTATTTATTTAGGGTATAAACGCAAGATATTCATTAAAATTATCAGGATATGACAACGAAGTCGATCACAAAAGCGCGTTTTCAGTAGCCCCTGAGAGTGGTTACCAAGAAACTTCCGTCGACTTTCTTATCATCAATTATTTAAAATTAGATTATGAAAAGGAAAGCTGGCGAACATTTTCGCTGACGGTAATTATACTACAGTAAAACCTCGATATAACGGATTAATACGGGGAAGGACGTGCTTCAGACGCGTTCTTCTGAAGACGCATGCCTAACATGCGTGTCTAGTTTTAGTTCAATGAAAAATATATAATAAACTAACGCTGAATAACAACTAAAACTAGAAGTACCGTCCTTGATGATAGGGTTTATCCGAGTTTATCTATGAACATGGAATTAAATAGATAATATTAATAGCATGACTTAAAAATATTTTGTCCGTTATATCAGGGTTTTACCATAATTATACATTAATTATTATTTTTTTTATTTAAAATATTTATATACTTTAGTTGACAGCTACTGAATCTGCCGATCCAATTAATGACGAAATTCATAAACCAATTACGTTTCATATAACTCTTTTAAATAGAAATGATGAATTACCCAATTTCATAAAATGTAACGAAGATGGCGAAACTAAACCAGATGACTGTGTTATACGAATCGAAGAAACTTACAATGACACGGAACAACGTTTGATTCAAATGCAAGCTGAAGATTTAGATGTAGATGGAACTTTAACGTAATAATCAACGAAATTTGCATCAATTTTATTTAATACTTTTTGCTTTACAGCTACGCAATCTTAGGCACTTACGCAAATCAAATTTTAAAAATAGACGACACCACAGGAGAAATTTACTTGAACGAAGCATATGGACGACGTCCCTTTGACTACGAATCCCAAGAAGAAGTAATCGTTCAAGTACAAGTAAAAGATGGCTTAGAAACAGATAAAGATACAACAAACATCGCACTCAGTCAACTTACAATAAAATTAAAAGACGTAAACGATGAGACTCCGAGAATTTCAGTTGAAGCAAGTGGTGATGGAGTCCCTGAAAACTGTGGAACCCAATGCGACATTGGTATTACAATAACTGCAACCGACGAAGATTCCTATTCCAAGTTAGAAATAACAATCAAGTGGGACGAATCTTCAGCCATCAAAAACGGCAGAAAAGTAACCGACTCCGAAGAATTCGCAAAATATAAGGAATGCGTCAAATTGGTTGTTGATCCTACATCGTTTCGATCCAGACTCATAGCTACATTACAGTTTATAGAAACCGAAGAAACGATGGGTAACACGCCAGATTTTGAAATTTTCGATACTTTGGATTTAAAAATCGTCGCCACAGATATAAATCAGATCGATTCGGAAACGCCAAATTACGGTAATAATCTTCAATAATTTTAAAATTTATCTTGAAAAATATTATTTTCAGTTTCCACCAACGTTCAAATTTACATAAACGACATCAATGATAACGAACCAATCTTCCCTGAAGATGTTTCAAAGCCTTACAAATTTAGAGCAACCGAAAAAACCGAAACTAATACATTAATTGGTTATATAACGGCCACCGATGCTGATGTTGATGCTAAATTATCCTATTCTATTAAGTAAAAAAATAATATTGGTTATCTCAGAATCGTGTATCAATATCAATAGTTGGAAAAATTATGGAAAGAATTTTTTACAAAAGCTACTTCTTTTTCATTTGGAATATTTAAAAAATTTGCTATGAAAATGTCGTTACAAGACATACCACCACTATATCCACGAGTCACAAGCAATCTATGGGATGTAATGTTCTGATCATAATGAAACAACACACACATTTGTGATGTTAAGACTGCTTGCATTAAAGAATACTCTGCAGATCTAATCCTAGGTTATTAGTTTAATAAAGCACACAGAACATACCAGAACAGACACTCCCCTTCGTTCTTAGATATTATTTCTTTCAAAAAATTGATGTCCTATAGACTATTCTGAGATAACCAAGAAATAAAATAAAATTCAACATTTATTATAATTTTTTTTTTAAGGCCAAAAGATGATAATCCCAATTTAGATGGTCTTGTTAAAATAGACGAAAAGGATGGAAAATTGACAACAACAGACAAAAAAATTGATGCTGATACAGAAAAGATTTTTAAATTATATTATACAGTAACTGTTTCCGATGAGGTCCATATTGCAAATGCTGAGGTAACAGAAACAAAATCACAAAAAAATCGTTAAAATTAATTATTTCTTTAGGTTGAAATTGACATTGAAGATATAAACGATCAAGACCCCATATTTGAAGTTGATGAAACTATAGATGATGTACCAATTGCAGAACAATCAGAAGCAGGTACACCTGTGGCACAATTTCTTGCATTCGATGGGGATCGCGATGAGGTAAACAACAAAATAACATACTCGTTTAGTAGCAATATGGATAAAGAACTAAGAAATTACTTTAAAATCGATGAAGAAACTGGAGAAATTACGGTTGCCTATACGGATGATGATCAAAAATTAGATAGAGATAATGATATTCCGAAAGCACCAATAATTATCCACATAGATGCTAGGGATCCAGGAAATCGTGTCGATTCAATAAGCTTTAGAGTTATACTTACAGATATTAATAATAACGAGCCAGTTTTATTAACGAAAGGGCCGTTTTCAATCGGTGAAGATAGTTCAGCTAAACAATTTATTACCGAACTTAAAGCAAGTGATGCTGATGAGGGGGATAACAGCAAAGTATCGTTTGAGATAGTTGGGGATATAATAGGAGATGAAAATTTATGTAACAAAGAAGATAAAATCGAATTTAGTTTAACCGAACCAAACGAAACAGAACGAACTGTTAAGTTACTAACCGGCGTAAAATTAGTAGGATTTTTAAATGATTATAAAGTGACGGTAAAAATGACTGATCATGGAAACCCTGCGCAATCATCAGAGGCTACTTTTACGGTTAACATTAATAAATACAATTTTAATTCTCCCGTTATCACATCCCCACAACAAGGGGCCACAATCCACTTGGCTTTAAATCAAAGTCCGGGTAATCCCATTCAATTACTCGACGAAGGAAAAACTTTAAGTTTAGAAGCGCACGATGATCAATGTGGAAAATATCGACCAACATTCTCAGTGCAAGATGACAAAAATTTATTCACGGTTACCTCGTCTGGTTATCTAACCATTCAAAACAACGTAGAGTACGACGAAAACGTACCTTATCAAGCAACCATAATCGCCACAACAGTGGGTGAACCATCCGACAAGTCATCCCAAATAACCGTAACATTTTTCTTTGTCAATTATAACATTAACCCTGTATTTGACGATGAAAACCGAGAAGCTGAGACAAATGGGTTTCATGAAAACAAAATAGGTGAAGAGTTCGAGTTTCCAAAAGCAAAATACGAAGTCGAAATTGCTGAAGATTTAGGATTACCAATTTACTATATTATCATAGAGGGACAATCATTGTTTTCTATTCCTAATAATCAAAAACCCATTATTCGGTTGGATAATGAAGTTGATTATGAAACAACCCCGGTTATTACCGTTGTTGTTCAAGCTTCCAATAGGGAAAGTGGTGAAATTGGAGGTTCAGATAGAGCTAAAATAACTATTACTGTTAATGTACAAGACATAAACGATAACCCCCCGGAATTTGAAAGAGAAATTTATTATACAACATTAAAATACGACGATAAGAAAGATGACACCCTCATACAGGTTAAAGTAATTTTGAACAACAATTTGATATAAACATAAATTAAGAAAGAAATTTTTTTAGGCAACTGATCCGGACGTAACCGATGTGATTAGCTACGTTATAGAAAAAATCGGTGATTATCCATCTAATTATCCTAAATTATATATCGATAATAATGGAGCATTAAAATTAAGTAGTGATTCTAATAGCGCAGCTACAGGTTATACAACTGTTAAAATTTGGGCAAGGGATTGCGTTGAAAGCGGATCATTATGCAGCGATGGTAAAACAATTTTAAATTCGTTATTTTTATGTTTAATCAAAATATTTTTTGTTAGGTCACGAAGTAAGTGCAAACGTTGAGATTTACGTAGTCAACGAAGATAAACACATTGTAAAATTCAAATTCAAAAATGTGATTATTGATGTTGAAAATAAAAAGGATGAAATCGCTGATGTACTTTCCGAAACGTTTAAAAATGACAAAGGAACACCTTACCAAGCGAATATAAAACGTGCGATTGAAGATGATTCCGATGAATCATCTAAACGAGCTGATGATGATGAATCGGAAACTTCTACCATCACAACTTGCGAAATTTATTTCATTGATACTGATAGTCACGAACCGGTAGAGAAATCAGTGATTGAATCGTTCGCCAGCGATGTAAAAACATACGATAAATTACAACAGGATTTCACACAATACGGATTAATTTTGATTAGTTTCTCTTCGACCTCAGCCGACGTTGATAACACCGTCGAAGTTTTAAGGGCTTGGTTAATTGGTGTAGCGGTTATTTTAGGAGTTTTATGCATTCTACTTATTGTTGCTTTTGTATTAAAAACAAGAAGGTAAAAGTTCGCATATCTTTTCATTTTTAATTTTTAAAATTGTTTTTGTAGCCTAACAAAACGTTTAAATAAATTATCTGTAACGAAATTTGCATCACAAGAATCGGGATTAAATAGAAAAGTTGTACCGAATACGAATAGGCATGCTTTGGAAGGTTCCAACCCAGTTTTTAGTTCTGAAAAAGAGCTTCCAGAAGAAGCAGATCGACAAAGGTAAATTAATAGAGTTATTCCATAAACAAACTTAAATAATTTGTTTTAGCATTAGCAGCGGTGATTCTGATCTTATAGGAGTAGAAAATAATCCTGATTTTGAACGAAAAATTCAGGTAATAAATCATTAATTGATCCAAAAATAAATGTATCCACACTTTTTGTTTTTTAGAGTAATGGCGTGGAAAGATATTAAAAGATAGATATGGATAAATGATTTTAGATATGTATATATTAAGTATTTATAGTATTGTTAGGTATATTTAATATAATTGGAATCATTTACCTAGAGTGAATTTTAAGTCTTAAAATATATAATTTTCACAGTACAATCAATAATTTAATAGCTATTGTCTTCCAAAACAACCATAACAATCCTTAAGTTTATTAAAAATGATGTATGTGTTAAATAAAAGCAATGAGGCTCATTCAAAGATGGAGAATTGATGTAATCGAGGAACAATAATAAAGAAAAGATTCACAGCAAAGTTAAGTGAATTACAATGATCTAAATGGTTGTAAAAGCAAAAATTCCATATAAACAACTCAGTTTATGTCTATGAGCAAGTCTGAGGAGCTTAACATAATGGAGTTATTGACGTATAATCATTGAATATCCACTTCCAAATGCCAAAAGAAAATCTAAAATAAAAAATTAACATCAAATAATGTTGAGTGTATAAATTAAAATTAATTAATTAAATAATACTTACACCCAGTAATATTTAACCGATTTGGAAAGTCTATCTGCCATTGATGGTTTCTGAAGGATTTCTCTTAGAATTCCTCATAAATTTCTTCTTGTATATTCTAGCCCTTATTGCATCCCAAAGTGTTACTTTACTGCACGAAAAATACCTTAAATGAGAAATAAAAGTACTATATTATAACTATTAAACAATAATTAAGGTTATGTATGTATACTACTAAAGAAGCTAAAGAATAACCAAAAAAATTAGGTATAACTAAGAGAACTGAGTAAGAACTTCGAAAAATTAAAGAAATAATGATATATTAGCAAGAATAGTCAATATTAAGCTTAAATAAACAAAAAAATTACTTCTAATAAACCATATAAAATTTAATATTGTTATTCCCGCCATCTATCGGATTATTTTCAAGGTACATATCTGTTTTTATTTTAAAGATTTTTTGGGATAATATAAATGTAGACCTTTGTAGACTTTCTTTGTATCTCAAAATATAAAAAAAATACGTCCAAAAAGAGAGAAACGATAAATCGTTTGGAAACTGGACGAATTTTTCGACATGGTTTCGTTTGTCATCTCAGAGATGGCTCCACTGTTTTGTACAAATTATTTTTATTTAATTTTATAATTAATTTAGATTTACTTAATATAATATGTAAATGTTTTATTTGTCTACAAGCAAGAATGAAATTGAAAGAAAAAGATGCGATAAGGACAAAAATAAAATCCTTTAGAAATGAGCGCCATCCACCGTCGACGTTAATAATCACTTATAGAAATCTTTATTGAAGGGGTAATCACCAATTTTTAATTAAAATACGCTACAAAAAAATAACAGGAAGAATACGAAGACGTTTGTAGGTAATAAAATTTTAGGAGAGGAAGAAGGTTTAAAATTATCTTGCTTTGCAGAAACAACAAAAATAAGATCAAAAATTGAGAGAAAACTTTCTGTAGGTAGCTTATAGAACTTTTCCCAAACTGTCTTTTAATCAAAAATAGAATTGGATACTGTTTAAAATACATAATCCCAACTCTGTCGAACCATGAATCCATTTAATTCATTCAAACTCATCTCTAGACTCAATTACATCATGCGACATCCGTTAAAGAGAAAAAGCATAGTTAAAAAGGGGGAAAGAACGTCATGGACGTCTCTTTCACGTCGGTGCTCCCCTCGAGATACAATCGGAGGAAATTAGTTTCGGCGTTGGCGCGGGTCTCCTTTCATCATCCGCGGCTTCTCGGACTGCCATATCACGTCAGGTAATTGACCATTGTGTCAGCGGACGGCGAACGCGCCTCGGAAAGGAAGTCGACAATGAGCGCGTCCATTATACGTCGTCCTTTCTGGTTGCTGCCGTCATCGCAGCCGCCACTACTGGCAATGCTGCCAGGGGAGAACCCCCATTCGTGACAGTTTGACAGTATAATTAAGAAGAGATGAAATGTAAAATGATAAAATACAAGATTATTTTATAAAATAAAATGTATAACATAATTTAAAGCATAAAATAATTAAGTATTAACAGGGTAAAATCCATCATGTAATACGTTCTTTGGTTGGCTTAAGTAGTGCAAGCATCATCATAATTTATAATCCCGTTCGTTCGAGAAATCGTTTGGAACATTTGACGTGTTATTAATAACGCGTATGCAATTACCTTTCAGACAAATGAAGGTCTTTCGGAGAGAAAATTACGGCCATCCTTCTCTTTACCCTTCGTCAGTAGAAGTTACGGGTAATTTCCAATCTCACCCTCCTCCGCTTCTGCCGTTCCCTCAAACGAGTTCAAATGCACGTCACCGAAATTAAAGAGGGGAAAGCCGGCGACGTTCCTTTTCGACATCACGACAAAAATATCACATCACGTTCCATCGCGTCATTAATTATGTTTCGGGTCATTAATCAAAATCCGGATAAAATGGTAAAATCGTTTTTTGTCGGGGGCGACTTTCACTTTTAGCTACCCTGTAAATTAAAATGTTATTATACTTTTATTTTCTGTCGAGAGCGAGAGAGATTAAAATTGGTTGTCCGATCGCGTTAATTCCGCCAGTTTGCGGGTTAATAACTGACGTGATTTATGTAGCCGGCGCCGTCGATTTACGGCTACTTTCCAATAATTACGGATTGGCGAACGCCGGGTAACGCTAAAATGGAACTGGCACAACAGGAAGTTAGTCGTAAATCAAAGCGAACTGTACATCATACCTTGATAACGTTCACGTTTATTACGCGCTATTACCTGGCGGACGGCAGCGGGAGAGAAAGGCATTAATTAAAATGTAACAAGCACGCCGTGTTTAATTACCACAAGTTTCCGCGCGCGCTAATTAACACATTTAATTATCGTGAATTATGCCGTAATGGCGAATGTGGGAGCTGCTTCGTAACTTTCGGCCCCAAACTGCACAGAAGGTTCACTTCAATGGCGGTACTTCATACCTATCTAGCACTTACTTTACAAGAAAGTTTAATGTGAAACTCGAAAATTTATTATATTAAATTATAGTCATCAATTGATGGTTCATTAATCTTAATTACATCGCAAATACAAATTTCGCCAAAATTATCGCCCTCCATCAAGTACCATTTCAAAAAGGTCGAATAGGAATCGAAGTGGGAACATCTCGAATTTAAAACGAACTTCCATGATTTGTTCCTAACGACCAGATGAATCGGAAAATACACCGCCCCCAACGTACGTCACTACTGTTAAATTCAATCGGCTCTGCCTCCGGACTTGATTAAACGCAACGCGTTAAAACCAGCACTAGAAGAGAAAGAGGCAGTTCGGCCCGCCCATATTTCTTCTGTTCTTTTAATAAAGGCGTCCGTGCGCCAACGGAGAAGTAATGAGTCGAACGGGACTGCGGACCCTATCGATCACGGCGGAGTTCTTAATTACCGACCCCAAGTCCTCTCTTACTCGATGGTCCGTCTCCGAAATAGGGGAAAGTCGAGAAGACTGCGAAAATGTAGTACTTGAACACGTTCGTCGAGTCTACTCAAAATTGGGATGGCCCCTCAAGTGTTATGATGGATTTTCCTCGACTTGAATTAATTGAAAATTTTAAAATAAGTTATTATTAAATTAATTTAGTTTAAATTTTTCTTTCAAGTTTGCAATCGTCATTTGATCTTCTGATTTAACTTACGCATTTCTAGAATGTCTGTATACTGCGTTCAAAGAATATTTGAAACCATGAAGAAGTTGGTTTTGCATGGCAACTTTTTTTCACAATAGAAGTCAATTCATTTATGTTTTCACTGTTTGTCTGTTTTAGCTTCGAGATAATTGGCTGTGTAGATACCATCGCATGGCGTATATTTCGGTTGCATAATACATACTGATTAATTTCATTATTTATTAAATTAAGTGTTGTTCTCTTGCAAACATCTTCGGTGGTAATAAATGAAACAGTGTAACTACTTAGCAAAATAGGCTGTCGATGATAACTTGAGTTTAGAATTGGATGTTGAATTCATATATATTTAAAAGGAAATATCTAAAAGAAAAGATTGATAATGATTGAAAAAAGTTGCTTATTCGTTTTTGTTTCACCACCACACGTAATTAATTAATTAATGGTGTAGTTATTTATGCCTAAGTTTTTTTTTGCTTCGACTTGTTTAGGTGAGGACATTGTTGATGATGCGGAGTAATCAATGTCCAGCTGTGACCACAGAGTTACCGACAGGATGGGGTCTCGGTGCGTCGTTCGTTTGTCACTCGCGTCGGCTGTCAATTGTTGCAACCGCTCTGCCCTCTGTGTTGTCCGCACCAACGCTTCCCCAACGCACCAGGACATGTCCTAATTATTGTAACGCTACGTTGTCGATGGGGGAACGAAAATATACAACGTGCTAGTGACAGGTAGATCCACATCTATCTATAGTACATGTCATTCAAAATAAAACTTTTCAGTACCGATAGATATATTGAATACGATAACTAAATAAAGATGATTGGGGGTAGACAACGTTAATGAGGTTTTATGGAAATAACTCGTTCCATATTTGCCGTAACCGTAGGGCATTAATCATAATTAAGCGTTCGGTAACGATGGAGCTCGCGTGGAAATGGCTCGGTTAGGGAGCTGAAGATCGTATTGCCGCCTCTGAGATAAGGTGAAAATTGCATTCCTTATCCTGAATGGTGGATCCACGAACGCTGGTTCGTATAGAACCCCGTTTCTGATGCCATTGCTAATAATTGACATGTACGAAAGTGTCGTTACAGGGAACACGGACGGCGTTCGTAATTACGTGCTACAGCGTACACCGCTCTTTGTCTCATACATTATTTACGTCGACCGACAATTTACCAGCGCATATGCAAATAAAAGGTCAACGCTGTATAAACACCGCTAATTATGGATGCAAATCCAGCATCGCACACGAATCGATCCCCAGCAATGTGGACGCGCACGGCAACTACACGTGTTTTATGCCATTGTTAATCGCACCTCTCGACGTTGAAAGTATGTTGGTTCGAACGTTCTAATCTTCTCTGTAATTTAACGAATATTTATTGATCATTTTATTACAATTTACATATTCAATGTGTACTTAACGCTTTTTATTCATACCTTATGAGAGTAATATTTTATGAAATAACAAAA